TTCCGTGTGAATAAGAGTCAGAGGATCCAGATGAATCAGTTTTCCTCTGGTGTGAAAACACATTAAAAATGCTGATTTTTAAATATTCATTTCTTAAATGTTTTCATTGAGAGCCAATAAGAACCAAATAGTTTTCTGAACAAGCTTTACAAATTACAAAAAGGTTTTAAAAAAAGCAAAATCAACCACTGGACTTTGTTTCCCAAGTTTGAAGACGTTTGGCTTCCCATCCAGAAAGCTTCCTCAACTCTAATGTTTGGAGCAGCGTTGACTTCATGGCTTCGCTTTCTGGATGGGAAGCCAAACGTCTTCAAACTTGGAAAATAAAGTCCAGTTTGTTTTTATTTCTGATATTTTGGAATGACTATGATCTGGATGACTGGGAACCTTCACCAGCAAACTGGCAAATAAAGCTCTGATTCCAGTTTTAAAGAATCAGGATTTATCCTTTACTTCATGATTAGTCAGAAAGGTCACCAGAAGCTGAGCCCTGGTTCTGGTTCTGGTTCTGTTCATCAGGCCCAGCTTGACTGAGCACAACCAAACACATTTTCCATTAACTAGCTAACGGGAATCTTGATGAAGTACGGTCAGGAAGTTCTCACCTGTGAATGGGTCAATGCTGGAGGGAAAGCGATATTCCAGGATAGCTCGCAGCCAGTCAGGCATCGGGGGAAGATGGGGTATTTTCACTGGATGCCCCAGCAGCTCAAACTGGAACAGCTCTTCCTCTTCTTCTGGCGCTGCTGCTTCTTCCTTCTTCTCTTCTTCTGGAGGAGGCGGTGGAGGAGGAGGTGGTGGAGCTTTGCTAGGAGCTGCAGGGATCAGGACTTAAATGTCAGTGGTAGCATTGATAGCTGAGCGTTCAGTTTCAGATCGATTAAACCTTTAACCTCTAACAGGGTTAGAACTTTAAAAGACTTCAAACTTTCTACACAGCAGTAAAGTCTCTTTATCCTTTGGAGATAATCTGGACCCTGCATTCTTCTCTACAGGTTAAATTCAGAACTTTCTAGGCACTGCTTTTGTGACTGGATCTCCAGATAAATAATCTGAATCCAAGGTGACGTACATGCTGAGGGACTCTCCTCCTCAGACTCATCCGGATCCACCAGGCGGTCCTTCTGTCTCTCAGTCCGACCTTTAAAAAGCTTAACCAGCTCATTCAGGCGCTCCTGGATCACAACGCTGCCGATGCTGGCGGCTGAGAGAGGACGCATCCTGCAGGAGGAGAGGATGATGATGAAGATAACAGACATAGCCGGAGGAGGAATCTATTATTTTTTTCGTATTTCTTACTCGTCGTCTGCAGTCAGCAGGTCTCCCTGACTTGACCAGGTCTTCAAATCCGCCTTCAGTAGCTCCTCATCATCCTCGCCTGCAGACAGATCAGCTCTGGTGGAGACAAACGCATCAAGCAGATAATTTATCTTCCTCCCCCATAGATACTCTGACTATACAGGCAGAAAAGAGCTTTGGGAAGTAGGACCTAGAACACCTAGAAGTTTAGCGTAGTTCACCCCAAAATCACATTTATTTTGTTGATAAACTGCATAAACTGGATCTATGTGATGCTTTTTTACTACACTTTGCTTCTTATAAACATTTTTATGTCATATCCTTTTACTGAAAAATGCTTCACTTCAAAAGATCTGTTCATGGAGGAGCTTCCAGCTTCGCTATGCTAAGCTTCCATCAGAGCCGGATAATCATGAAAGTAAAACCATGAACAGAGATTAGTTTCAACCATTTAAATGTCCGTCTCTACAGCACAGACTGGGAGAAAATCACTGGGATAATGTGGACAGGATGAAGGAAAACTAGGCAGGGATTTTATCGGCTCGCCATGCTTCTATAGATAAGCTATGCTAGGTTGGCTGCCATTTTATGTCATCATGACCTCACTAAACTCCCGCCACTCATCTCAACACGTCGCCGCGGCCCTCAGAGCTTTTATGGGGACAGCGTTATTATTTTATATGGAATTAAACATAGTGTGTCTTTTAATTACTTTCTCACAGTAGCTGTTCAGTATATAATAATAAAAAAAAACAAATCTATACAGATCTATAACTAATTTCACTTTGTGTAGAAAACAACAGAAATAAGGAAGTTAAGTTATAGTAGGATTATTGAAGCATATTTGATTCCTATCGTCTCAATCCTCACCGCCCTGCAGGGAAGCAGGTCAGCCAGACCAACGATGACCCTGACCACTCCCCTTTCAGAGGCATAGGCCAGTATTGCAGGCTGACAAAGGTCCACCCCACTGCTAAGGAGTGGACCTTCTATTGTTGAGTTTCTATGTTTTCTCAGCCATATCAAGGCTTCGTTGGGCTACTCTATAAAGCTTGGACCTCAACGCTAATCCAGACATTTTTAGTTGAGAAAGATTCCTGGATGGGAAGAAAAATGTCCTCAAACTTGGAAAACAAAGTCCTGTGGATTGTCTTTTTTTTGTTTTTTAACTTTTTTAACTTCTTTGGAACATATTAACATCAAATTTAAACCAGTCACAGTTACAGACACTGCAGAGCAAAGAAAAACGAAGACGCGTCAAAGCAAGTGTCACAGTCTATGGCGCACGCCTCCGTCTCCTTACAGCTGAAGACTCACTATGTCCCCATGATGACGGAAACATTGAGGCACATGACGTCAGCCAGTACGGCGGAGCAGGGACCCCCCCTGAAGCCAGGCTTTCATTATTTAATCATTCTCTATGCAGACGACTCTGTAATTTACATGTTCTTATGTTCATATTTTCCACAGCTGGACTTTTAGCTTGTCCCTAAAATAAATGCTGTTAACAGGGTAACAATCCTCTCATCCTCCACTTTGCCATTTTTTCCAAGAAGACAAACACAACCGAGGGACCGGTCTCTCATCCCAGGGACCGGTCTGTCATCCCAGGGACCGGTCTGTCATCCCAGGGACCGGTCTGTCATCCCAGGGACCGGTCTGTCATCCCAGGGACCGGTCTCTCATCCCAGGGACCGGTCTCTCATCCCAGGGACCGGTCTGTCATCCCAGGGATCATGGAACTGGATGCCATGATAAACTTAACAATCTTCAGTTGATGAGAGGAACAAGGTGAATCTAAGGTTTCTGGTTTTATTCATCAGTTTTCTTCAGATCAACCAGAACAGTTCTGAACCAGAGGTCCAGCTTTACTACTACAGAAATATTTCTGCCTTCTTCTGATCTTTTTTGGAAAGTTCTCTGTTTTCTCTTCCTTTTTGTCATTTTATGGGTTCTTTACTTGTTTTAAATCATTATTTAAACTTTTCTTTCAATGATATGTGACCCATAGATGATCCTGTCAATAAATTCATGTCTTTGGCATGAAATGATCGCCTTTCGTTTCACTCTGAACGCCCTCATGTATAAACCTATGAAACATTTTACCTGCGCCTGCAACGGCGCCCCCTTGAGGCCAGCCTGCTGTTACCTGATCTCTGGGACCATCAGAGTGTTGGCCTCGGGTTCTGGGGTGGTGATTATTTGTGGGATGTTCAGGTTGTGTCCGTGTAGCCCCTCCTGACCCGCCACCTTCACCTTCACCTTGGAAGCTTCAGCTTTCCTGCAGCTCTCTGAGGAGCAGACCACAAAACAAGTGTTGGTGCTTCAGGGAATGTCGGCGAACCGCAGAGACGGCGAGAAATCAGAGAAACACTGGATCTGAGCTGTTCAGACCATCTGCTGCTTCATCAAACCTCTACAGCAAACACATCCGAAGCACTGGGAGCTTTTTAAGCCTCCAGGAGATTTTTAATCTGATAAAATGGTTAAAAAATGATCAAATGCAAGTTAAAGTAATTTACCTTTTATGATTTGGTTTATAGACACAGCATTAGAATATAAAATATCTCAATATCATCCACTGTTCTCATCTAATTCAGCTGCTTCCTTCTTTTACATCAGTTAAACTATTAATTATCCTCAAAAAACAATAAAAATATAAAAACCAGATGAAAGGATGACAGGCACTCTGGATTTTCTCAGATAGATTTATTCCAACAGGGAGGAAATCTGGGGAAATATGACAGTTAAATGTTTCACTCATCAGAAAAACTCCAGAGAAGCTGAAGGAAAACAAAATCAATTTAATAAAGAAAGAATTAATTAAACTACAGGCAGCTTTAGAACGACTGAGAGGATCTAGGAATGGGGGGGGGTCCATAGATTATTCCCAATGAACGCAAAATTCTGTTTATTGAATTTATTAAAAGTTTAAAGAGATTTAAAGACGGCAAAAGCTGCAGAAACATCTTGGTTTTACAATTCAATAAAATGGCACACTTTATTTATGCCAAATTACATTTTTCCAAACTTCTAGTCTGGGTTTCTATTTCTTAATTTTTTTTTACACCTGATGTCATTCAAAACTAATTTGTTTTTTGTTATCAAAAAGTTAAACTACTTGAAAATCCTTGATCCATTTATGGTCCATATTTACCGTCTGCTTGAGTTTTCACAGTTTCCATCCGATTATCATGAAAGGTGTTCCACCTGGTACCATCCTAAGACACTGTTTTTTTAAATTAAATAATCTTGAACTTAATTAATGTTGAAAGTATATTGTACATCTAGAGTTCATTTTTGGATTAAATTTGTTTAACAGAAACTTCTTTAAGTAACAAATATTTATGTCCTTAGGTTTTGTTAATTTCTAAACTTGGTATTCCTCATTATGAATGATGTCGGTGTGCGTAATAATTGTATTTTGGGGATCAATAATATAATTTGTCAGTCCAGTAAGCTTATCTTTCATATTGAAGCTGAAACATGTCAAAAGGTTCATAAGAAAAAAACAGTGTTTTGAAATATTTTTAATCAAATACCAAATACTTTACTTAATGACATAACTTTTCTCTATTTAACCCTATAATGCCAAATGTATCATATTTGATACATACGGTTTCTAAAATGTTTTGCGTCTGACACCTTTTGCATAATTTATTGGTAAAAACTTTGCTCAAAATCCTATTGTACACAATCAGATATACCTGATAACAGACAGCAGAAGACTACACAAAAAATAATCTTGACTTAATAAATAATTAATATCAAAAATGTATTTCTGTTTTTTCTTTTTACATATTTTGTTAAAAGGCCAAATAAGGACTTCAAACCCAAAAAAAGTAATTTTCTGTTTTGTTTTATTCTTGGATCGGGCTTTAAAGGGTTAATTACTCTCTATGCAGATGACGTTGCTATTTCCATGTTCTCATGGAAGTTCACTCTGCCGACAGCTTGACGTTTAGCTTGCATCCAAATGAAACTTGATTAACAGGGAAACGTAATCCTCTCATCCACAGGAGGAGCCCAGATTCCCGGTGCTTCAAACACGGCGCCGTGTTTTTAGAGAAGTTATTCCAAACCTCATTATGGTCAAATCCCAGGGATGCGGCTTCAAAAGCTGGATCTGGATCTTTTTCCTGTTGGAAATATTTTTGGGATCATGAAGACGACCTTCTTTATTCTGCTAAATCAATTTTTTGACAATTAAAAGAAATACAGATTGACTAATCTGTGGCATTTAAAAGGTAAATCCAGCCTGTGGACGACCTGCAGCTCCTGAAGGACCTGAACTGTTTCAGAGATCAGACTGTTGATTCATCTGACATCGCTTTGCAAGTTATATTTAGCTTTTCACATCAGTCTCAGGAGCATTAGAGACTGTTTGATGTAAGACTTTGGCTGCAGATTGTTCTGAAACAGCTTTCTGCTTATGGTCTAAACATGTGCAATGATCCTAACCACTTTCTATACTTCACCATCTACATGATCTTCCTAAGCCTTCGGTCTCAGATATAAAGTTTTATTCTTTTAGTTTACTCATTTTAATCATTATGAATCATTTTAATCATATTTTATTCCTTTAAAAGTCATGTTTGTGCCTTTTTGTCTGCAGCAGATTCCTCCTGGATTTTTTAAAACGACGCACTAGTTTGTTAAAGGAGCAGAAACATGACAGGAAGTTTTCTCCATTTTCTATCCACTGTGTCCATGAGCAACAGTCGCGATGCTGCAGAGTCAACGGCTCAGAACCAACAGAAGAAAAGATGATCTGGTCAGCTTTACTGCCAACCTCATGGTGAAGCTTTACTACCAGCCTCATTGTGAAGCTTTACTACCAGCCTCATTGTGAAGCTTTACT